GTTCGAACGTAGTGCGCATGACCCGGAGCGATACACTCCGGCTCCGGCAGCCTTGTGATTCCTCCTCGTCGGCGGCGGACACTTCGCCAGTACATTGCGCGGCATCGTTTCGTTTCGTGCTGTGTGTGCGGTTACGAAAACGGTATCTCGAGATAATGTGTATGTGAGAGATGCAATGTGTTACTACTCCACTAGTAACAATAAGAATCCCCATCGATATGTGTAAAACCGAATCGGTGGCGAATAGTTAAAAATAGAGCCGGGTTCTATTTCTTTCTTTTTTCCCGGATTAACACACTATGCCCGAGCAGGAACTTGCTCTCCTCATCGAAAGTCACAAAGTTCCAGAAGAAGGAGAAGAAGAAGAAAATACGTTACCCTACTGGTAAAGTACGTATTGAATGTAAAATGAAAAAGTTTCCTTGCGTATGTGTGAGTTCTTTGGTGTTCGTTTTTAATTGAACCGGTTGGATTTATAATTTATGCGCGGCGCATAAATCAAACGAGCGCGATTTCCCCGAATGGGAATATCATTTTCCGAAATTCCGAATTTCGCGGACACTTCATTACCCCAACGTTTTTTATTAATAATATTGCGTTTTTATACGTTTCCCGATGAACAACAAAGCCGCGCTTGCTAATCCGACAGCTCACCTCGCGCCACTGCGCCCGCGGCTATTTTTCATTTACTCCCAAATTTATTATTTAGCTATTTTAATATTTTAAACGCTTTTAACAATATGTTTTACCTCCGTTTTACAGCTGTTCCCTTTCAATACACTTTTCCTTGTTTTCATCACTTGCCGTCGGAAAAATTTACTTCCAACACTTTTTTTTATATTTTTTATATAAATAAATTTTATCTAAATAACAAAAATATGTATTGAAAGGTTTTTTTGTTTAATATGCTGTTATTTGAAATTAAAATATCACACTAGTTTTAAAAAGTATCAATTTACTCCCTCGTTACATAAATAACTTAAATGTACATAATTCGAAAATGAAATTTTTCGAAAAAATTTAAATTCTTCCTACATAAAAGGAACATAATTACGCTATGTGCAGATGCAATTCCCGATTACGTCGCCGAATAAATACATATTCACGAACGCTCGAAATGGTTGATTTATGTGCATTTTTACGTGACATTACTCCGTTCAGTAGCTAACTTACAAATCTAACCGCAAATCATAGCCTATATTACAATAAGTGAATAATTCTCGAAGACGATATCAACATCCAGGATGTTTAATCATAAAGATAACACAAATATCCTCAATCAATAACAATTCATCCTTTTATTATTTATTATTTATTATTTGCTATTTACTATTCTTATCAAGCAAACAAAAATATATTTCATATTATTACAAAATGAGTTCGATTCCGCTTAAGCGGAATTACTTATATATAGTACGGTTTTTAAATGTAAGGTTATAAGGTGTCGCGTCTACGTTTGGAGTCTGCGCAAAACGTCGCAGGTTTACCACTCATTACCGGACGATCGATGGCGGGTCACTTATGAAAGAACGCGAAAATAGAACGCGGAGGCGACGAAAACGTCGCGTATACCAATCTGGACGTGGTCCAATGCGGCGCCGCGACGCTTGAATGGGCCGCGGGACTCGGAGGCGCCCCGTTTAAAAGCGCTAAAACCGAGAAAGTACCACGTAAATAGCACATAAACCCCGCTCATAATCGTCTCAGGAATTTCGCTTTTCGGTTCAATCACATTTTTAAGGATATTAAAACACATAAAAATTATTTTCCATTTTTCATTATATTTGACGGTCTTGGATGTAGCGACTCGGTTTTAAATGACCTTGACTAAACCACGTAAATAGCACATAAACCCCGTTCATAATCGTCTCAGGAATTTCGCTTTTCGGTTCAATCACATTTTTAAGGATATTAAAACACATAAAAATTATTTTCCATTTTTCATTATATTTGACGGTCGTGGATGTAGCGACTCGGTTTTAAATGACCTTGATTAAACAAAACAAAAAAATAAATAAATAAAGAAAATATATATTTTATATGAAAAATGAGCCGTCAAGTAGTTCCAACATATGATTATATGTATAAAATTTTTCAAGTAGTGGAAGAGAAAAAAGAAAATGATTACAAGAAAGTGGTCGTGTAAAAAGAGAACACGCAAAGATAGAACACGTATATACATAAAGTACGATCGCAAAAATAATTAGTAGGAAACGTAGTTACACGGGTTAATGTAGATGGCGGTTAGGTTGGAGGGTATTTTCATAATAAAACGATTTGGATAAGCGCTAGTCGAAAAATGGCGACCGAATAAAATATGCTGATATATTAGTATTGATATATTACGACCGCCCCCGACGGCGATTGTGTGAAATTGCTAGACACATCAATGGCCGGCGTAATAGCGAAACGACACGCCACTGCCATTTACCAAATAATCTGCGCATAATTGAGTCGGGGAGGCCGCTCCCGGGACCTGCCTTTACCTGCCCCCAAAAGCTTTTGTAAAGTGTAAACATTTGTTTTCAGTTTCAAGAATTGATAAGATAAAGCTAAAAACCCCTTGTCGCAGGTAGAGAACGTGCGATGGTCGTCGTCGGCGTTGCCAAATCCACAGAACGCGTTCGCATGCCACTAGTGTATTAATCACGACCGCCGGCGTCCCTCGCCTCTCCGACGCGGCCCCAAACACCCTCCCGACGCTTGATTGGCCACCCCCTTGGCAGTGTAGAAACAATTTTAAGTCCCCTCAGTTCAATTTCGGCACTTGAAAGCGGCCGATACTCACCCTACCGTCTCTTTTGAGTCCTCTCAATTCTCCAACAGGACAATCGACCGCATCTCTTCTCTAAAAGCTCCCAAAAAACGCTGCCCTATTAACTACCATCGGTTTACTATGATTAAACAAGGGAGATATTAATTTCCAACGTTAATTATTTCGTGTGTCAGCGGTGCGTAAAGTAGATCATATGGATCACGAGCATAAAGTTCATTACGCGATGCCCCCGGGTTCGACTATACTTTAGGGGGATTTCGTAAATGATAAAGTTGTCGGGCGAGAGGAGAAATTCCGAACGCCATTGTCTCCGATGCGAGCTTTATACGTGGGCCTTTTTCGTTCGCGCGACTTTTAATTGAAGTGCCGTCACGTACGCGGCGGCCCCGCTGACTACGAGGATGTGAGGCGATAAGCAGCGACACCTAACACCCGAACCCTACGAGTATGTCTTCCGTCAAATTATATCTATAAGTTTCGCCCACTCGCGAGTGCTTAATCTATACCGAGCTTTGTCCTCCGCTGCCATCCATTAAATTTTATCGGAATTTACGTTAGTTTTACCAACCTGACTACTCGGAATCTCATTTGTCATTTCTATAATGGAGGTGTCGCCACGGTTCCTTGGACGACAGCTTATCTCAACTACTCCTACACTAATACTATTTAAGCTATTCATTTTCAATATTATTTAAGAAACTTTCAATCTACTACATTTACATGTCTTACTACTCCCTCTTACATAGATACACCTCGTGACTTTGTAATCAAATATTATATCTAACATCATAGATGAGTCATATTTTCAAGGTAATTTTTTTTCAATTATCTGGAAAATCTATATAACCACATTATTCATAGCTTTACTAATTAGAAGAGTGATTCATTTTACATACAATATACGGGCGAAATACTTGCACCACTCAATGTATACACATTGAAGAAGGATGTTAAACCATGTAATGTGTTAAGGTATTTGGCATTGACGGAGCCAAGCACGAAGCAATAAACTCTAAACGTCCGAATGATTATTGTTTGTTTAATATATCAATGTTGCAAAAAGATGATTTGGAAAGCGAATCAACTTGGAAAAGACTGTGAAAAGTGGCAGCTATAATTCAAATGTATTTACTTCAGAAGATTGCGTTGCAATTCCTGTAACCGAGAGGTCTTTGACTCCTAAGCAATATTATGCGGATTTAAAATTTCTTATTACATCAATATGTTATTAGAGTTGCGTATCTAAAGCATCATATATCTTTCCAATAGCGCTCAAATTAAACCTTCAACATTGCTGATCGAAAAGTACTCTCTTCCAGATTCTCCCATTCTGCTGCTTAATAACTTTTTTGAAATTCTCATTTTTTAACCAACTTATTGCAGTCTTTGAAGCCTTACGAATACTGAAATAGCTTCCTTGAACAGATGGTTAAGCTCCATCTTATATATATATATATATATATATATATATAATATCACAGTATTGGTATTACAATACGTAAATCGCGTATTGTGTTGCATACTTGCATTGATGACGTCGGCCACGAATATTAATTAACACACTATATATACAGGGTGAACACCCTATATATTGTATGCTAGTTGAATTGCCCATAAAGTTCCTTTTAATTAATAATAAGTATGTCATATGTCTAACTTTAATAGTTTTCGTGATATTTAGAATTTAAAATAAAATGTGTAATAAAATGTCATTATTGTACTTAAAAAGGTGACATAATGTAATAAATTCTATCCTTTTTTTGACACTTTTTTTTTGATTGTCTCATTTGGAAATAAGTAAGAATAATAAGTTAGAAGTTGTTCAAAATGTCGCCCGTTTTCTCTTCTATAAGCATTAATGCGCTGTATAAAAGACTTTGAGGTATCTCTTAACATGTACATCTTATTTTCTCTAAAGTCATAAATTATATGTTAGAACAATTGCATATTTTATTACTTACACATTTTTAAATCTCATAAAGTACCAAGTCGCATTAAAATTTGTTACCGTTAAATATTTTTTTCTTTCGCCGGGATACTAATAACTCACCCTGTATAATATATAAATAATTATTGATTATATCAAATTTTTTTATAAACAAACGTTGTGCAGAATTAAATTCCAAACAACTTTGATTAATAAAATTTTTCAAAATAACGTAATTTTAATTTCCCTCTGAATAGTATTGAACATTATATAATTTAGTAATTTTTTTTGTTTTAGGGGAAGTGTGTCATGGCCAGATATGGAGTGGCCCTTCACGGCCTTTTGCTATTCTCGACGCTGTTTTTATCGGAAACGATGGCGAAAAGTCCCGGTGAGTACTCAAGCTTTTATTTTGTTGTTTCCGTTGTGTATTAATAGCGGCGTTTTCCCTGGGAATAGCGCACCTTTATTAACCCGTTAGGTGTCAGAGTCGCGTAAACGGAACCTTAAGGGACGTGTACATGAGGTTCATTAGGAAAACGGAACGCTGACACCGCCGGTTAAATTGGATAAAATAGCACACAGAGCCCGATAAAGTTTGTGCGCGATTCCCATTCGCGCATTGTGTAATGTTTTACCATGAAATATGATTTTAATACTACAATTCGAGAATGAAAAAGTATTAAAATCTTGTTGTAATTAGTACGTTAATTATGCAGGTGCCATATTTCCGGGACCCGTTTATGACGGTGTCCCTTAAATAATGTAGCCTCGTGACACGGAGAAGTTTATATCCCCATTCGTTTACGGTGAGGGCGAACTCCTCGCGGCCACATAAACTCACCAAAAAACCGCCCTCGGCGTCCGCTTTTAAATTTTGCTAACTCCCTCGTAACATTTTCGCATATATAGCAACGTCATAAACAACTTAATTTAGGCTCGGGTTACCCTTTTCGCTGTTACTTGTTTAACCACCAAACAACTCAAAATTTTCGTGTTATGCCCAAAATCTTATTAACACATAGTGTGTTAATTAATTATCGTATCCGGTATGCAACCAATATCACAGTGCAATACGCATCATACACAAATCGCGTATTGCAATAAAAATACTGTGATATTGGTTGCATACTATAATAAGAAATATTTTGAAATAGGATTTTTTATTTTAAAAATTATTTTGGTTTGAGAGAGGGATTTTGGAAAGCGTGGTGGAGTAGGTGCTCGTGTACCCTTGCGGTTACACCTTCGCTAAAGGGGGGAACGAGAAATGAGGAAAAGCAGGGGCGAGGCACCCCACGCGCGAGATAAATCAATACGACCGACAGCCCCGGCATCACTTTATGGGTGATGGTACAATAACGGTCGGATTGTCCCTCGTCGGTCAAACACGAGCGCGATTGAACTTATAATTCACGGCGGCCGCGGATTTTGCCGCCCAAGTAAATCGCCGCCCGTTACGTTTCACGGTTTACACTTGTTTGCGCCATCAATTAAGGGGTCCGAAGGATTTTCCAACCCACTAACTCAAAAAAGAAAGAAAAAACGTTGCAAGTTTTTATTTAATATCGAGTATTATTAAAATTCATCCTGAAGATGAACTACAACTCCGAAACGTAGAGTTATCTAAAATCTCTTTCGTAATTCGCACGCGTCGACGATTAGTTACTGTCACCGGGAAACTAGAAATCACTTGCTGCTCGCAAACTAAAAATAACCACCAACCTCTAAATAAATGGTACGATAAAGGGACAAGTTCGATCCGGCCCTGCTTTCCCGACAATTAAACGTTCAACGGCACATGGCGCGCACATGATTCTTCGTTTACTTCTAAAACTCTCTATAAATAAACAGTTCACAATCAATGGTTTAAAACGACCCCATTTGTTTTTCTTTTGTAAACACCAAATGTTTTTGTCGCTTAATTAAAAACGTTACTTACACAAACCTAATCATGTAATATTATAGATAAAATTTAAATTGATTTAAAAGAAAGCAAAAATGAAATTACCTGTTGGGAAATTGATCTTAAAACAAACGTTTAGTATTTAGTTTGGCGTGGTGTTTGCGTGATTCCCTCCAACCTAAAACTAAAATAGAAATTCTTCCGTGCTGATAGTTCTACCTCTTTATTTATCTGATTTAAATGTCGTGCTTTTTCTTGTTTTGTTTGTCCTCTTGTGGGGTTTAACATTGTTTAATTTCCACTCCTTTCTATCAACGTCTGCAACTTTAGATTTTAAACTCGAAAATATTTTTTTTGTTTGAATAAATCGTTTTGAATAATGGAGTTGGGTTGGAGACGCCGAGACGGCCTAATTCAGCCATTAAGCGCGTTCAATCAATATCGACGGGCGTCGAGGTCCCCATCTAAATGCAAATGCGCGAAATTTTCGGAAAATCCTCAAAACGATCCCTCCAACATTTTAATAACAAAGCCGCGGAATTCGTACGATTATTTCGCACACTTAATAACTAAATTATTTGTTTCCCGCAAAAACGCCTCGATCCATCGCCTGCTTCGTCGCCATATTTTAAACGAAAAGAACCGTAATTATTGCGTAGATCCGGTCGATATCCGTGTTTCCAAACGCAATATATAACACCCCGACTTTACGATAAGCGTATTTTACCTTCGACGTCGTGGCTCAGGTAAAACCAAAAATTAACTAATGACCCCTCTTACAAATTTTTAACTACAATAGAATCAGGTAAAAATTCTTTTAGAATTTCTTTTCAACAAACATCCTTCTTACGTTACCTAAACGAAATTTTTTATTCTTTTTTGGTGGATCACCAAGAAACACCTGTTAAAGATAAATATTTTTTAAAAAACTTAATTAATTACAATGATCTTCTATGAGGTTATGTTAAAATGGCTTGATTAGCATAAATAATAACCTTTTTGTAGCTTCTGGCAGTAACATAAAAGCACTTAAGTATAAATAATAGATTATTTATGACCCTCAATACACTATATTTATCAAAAAGAAAAAATTAAAGGTGCACGTTGATGTCATCAATGTGACTGAATATGTGTATTATATAATAACCGACTCAATAGGCTACCAATTACACCCCTTTGGAAGCTGCCCATTAAATACTGATCCAAGAGCAAAAGCATATTCATGCATTGACCACTGTAGTACAGAACAGGGTTATTAACAGAGATATTAAGTGATTCGAAAGGGGATTTCATCATTTATGTAATCACAGCTATGTAGGAATTTGAAAGCGGATTGGAATCCTTAATATTTATATATTTTAAGATTAATAAAAGATTGCATAAAATCTCCTTATGTCTTTGCTTCCTGACTTGATGTATGCATTAAATCAACTTTAAATCTTTATTATTCCTGGAGCAAGTCTTCAAAAAGTCTGCATCAAGATGACTCATTATGAAGTTTATACCATCTTTGTATCGAGTTCTCGCCATGTTTCTAGCAAGTTAAGTCAGTACAAAATAAAGTTTTTATCAAGTCTGCTTAAGGTTGCATTTTGAAGTCAATTGAGTTAACAACTCAAATCTTTTTGATGCCCTTCATTTTATTTATAGATTCATTATGCTTCGATCAATCTCTTTATTATGTTTGCAAAAGGTTGCAATCAAGTCTTCATTGAGACAACCCCGCATAAAATCTACATCATTTTTATATAAAGTCTTGAATTAAGATCAAAGTCATCAAGATATCTTGCATCGAATATTTCATTTTTGAGATTATGCCTAGTCTATATGAAGTGTCCATTATTCCTCATGACTTGAACATGCAATAACTTTCCATGGATCAAATTTCCATTAAGATCTGCTTGAATGAATTTGATTAATTGTTTTAGTAATAAAAATTTTTAGGTTGGAGTGACGATCAAAGGGAATTGTAAAACTCTTCTTTTAGGTTTTAGAAAAAAATTTAAGAGACAATCGAATTTGAAGGTTTAACGAATGGAAATCTTGTTGGGGCGTCGTCGAAGGAGTCGTCCCCCCTGAACGTAACTCGAGTCCTTGTAGTGAAACTAGGAGAAACCCTTGGCAAGTTATCGCTAGAAAATCAATAGAGGGGGTTCTAGCGGTGCACACACCACCGTCGGTATATTGTATGAACCTCCACCGTTTGGGTTTTCGTGGGGGGGAAGTTTAAAATTCACCGAAACAACCTCCCGAAAAATCTACGCGTTATTTATTAACGTTTCCTCCGAATTTTTTTTCCTTTGTATTCTTTCAACCTCGGGCGGGATCGAAATTACGGCCGCGTAGACATTTAAATACGAAAAGCGGCCGAAGACGTGGCCGAAATTTAAAACGACCAGAAAGTTTTCGCGCCCCGGACATTTATCGCATTAGTTCCCGGACCAACTTCCGCCGAGATACAATGCTTCTACCGGAACGTGCTTCGGGGCCAAAACAAACTTGCTCGAATCGACTTTTCGCTTTCGCACGTTTCGATCCGGTAACATTAAGAGTTAATTCCACGATTTACTCCCACTTAACTATAGCCTCTTAATAAATAGTTCGTTAAAAAAAATGTATGTATATAAATGAGGATTTGGAAAAACAATTTTGGATTGTCGCTAGAAAATGCATAGGATATGTTTCTCCAAAAATTGCAAATACCGGAATCGTTGGACGGGTAGTAGATACTTCGTAGCCTGTTTGATATTCAGGGAGATATTGAAATATTCATCCCTCGATTGAAAAGGGGATGGAATCGATACCTCTACTCGGAAGTGTTATTTTTTTTATTTTAAAGTAATTCCTTGTTAATTTCCGCTTTACTTTTAAAAATCCGGGTTTTCACTCGTCAAAATGATGAATGAATATAGTCGTTAAGGAAAAAGTCAACAGTAAATAGAAACTTTTGAAAGGTACAATTTTTCATTTCGTCGAACGTCGAACGGCGCGGTCTATAATTATGACCCCGGGACCTTTATTTGTTATCTGGCGCAGGGAAATGAAGCCCGGCGCTTAACAGAAGCGATTGAAATTGGCTTTTCCGCCATAAAAGATTCCGAAATATATTTCAACGGGAATCTCGGAACCTATAATTGTCTGAATTTTCATTTCGTGTGACATTTATGAATCTATATAACTTGTGATATTGCCTTTTACGATTTTTCTTATATTTCCTACCCTATGTCCCTTCACAAGCACAATTCAAATAGCCTCCACGTGTAACAAAGGGGAGATATATTCGATATTAGGAATTCATAAAAAATTGTTTTGCGCAAGCGTATTCACATTTTTTACTCTCAAACAGATTATGCGTCTGCGTGAAAACAGTAGGAAATTAAGGAAATTATTAAATTAATAATTTTAAAAAATGGTGTCAAGAAAAGTTGTTCCTTTTTTAATTCTTAACAAGTTTTATTTGAAAAATATTTTGATACAAACAATAA